AGGATGGTCCTTGTTTATATGCCGTGTGTTCTGCCGCAATGTTTAAACCATTGCTTAAAGCGATTGGCGATTTAGCAGGCATCAGTAACTCTGTTGTCTTACTTGGTGATTTCAATCTTCTATTGCGGCGCAAGGGATGTAGGCCCCAGGCGAATAGCGCACGTGCTTCATGCTTCATAAAAATGTGTACAGGTCTGAATTTCCATCAGCTTGTTCCGAAGTCTACTCACGGACCCATCATTTTAGATCTGATACTGACCAACAATTCACAGCCTATAAGTAATATGATGATCTAAGCACCAATTGGTAATAGTGATTATGCATCTGTCGCTTTTGACATTAACATTGAGGCGGAGCAAAATAACAAAGTAATGTTCAAACGTGGCTTCGGTAATGCAAATTTCGATTCAATCAATGAATATCTTCAAACCATCGGCTAGTATGGATCCTTTCGAAGCGTTGATACAGTTAATGAAAAATATGAGTTGTTTTTAGCTGTAATTCATCGTACTATCGAATTATTTGTCCCACCCAAACCTCAGAAGACCACTGAGTACAGCTTCCACTTCACTTGATCAGATATAACCGCAAAAAGAAATTCAACTTAGGCTAAGGCTGTTTTGCGTGAATAATCAACGCAATTGGGGACAATTACAGCAAATTAAGATCCAACTTTGAGAAAAGTTTGTGTAAGTTCTATAGTCATGCTGAAAAAAACCGAAAACCAGCGTGGCTTCGAGAAAGGGAAATCAGCTATGATGGGCATGCTGCAGGCTTTGGATCATTGGATAATGTATCTTGATAATGACATCGGAGCGGACGTGATTCACTTAAGATTTTACTTTATTTTTTGGGCTTCGCGAAGGCGTTAGAGTGTTTCCCTATAAACTCATATCGAGCTATGGTGCCTGTCCTGGCAGTCTCGAATTACTCATCTGAATGTGTATCAAAACAACCACACCCTTAAATAGTGGGATGTGACGCGATCACATTATGACTTGCATAATGTCACGTAGTTCCTCCCTATTGTTTATTTGGGGTGTTAGCCGTTTTATTTCCAAGGCCTCCAATATTTTCCTTTCCATTGCGCTCTCTACCGAGCGGTGTAGTACTTTGACCATTAAAGAGGGGGTTCCTGGTGAGTGTGCTCCATTATGCGATGCCGGGAGAAACTGCTATTAGGGTAAGAAGGTGGGTTTCCCAGCGCCCTCCGGTGTTCGTCGATCCGTTTGTAAAGGGGCCTCCCAGTTTCTCCCACATATTTTTGCCCGCATCCTTGACATTCCACCAGATAAACTGTCCCCCTTTACAGACATTTATCTCTATCTGCTTATATTTCGCGCTGCGCTAGCACCTAATTTTCAGGCCTGACAATTATTTTAGCTTGTTTTATAGCATGTATATAAGCAGAGATGTAACCTGCATTGAGGCGGAGCATAATAACAAAGTAATGTTCAAACGTGGCTGTTTCATCATTAAAATGTGTACAGGTTCTGAATTATCCAATTCAAGGGCCTGTTTCCGCAGCTCTAGCAGGACCGCGCCACCTACACTGAGTCTTCTATTCAGGCATTCAATCAGGCGGCCAAAAAGCTCGAGAACACAATCAAAAACGTTTTAGGTCGAAAGTTAGATCAAGAGGTGGTGAGAAGATTTATATCATACGCGCCGTGCGTACCCACCTTCTACTCGCTGGTCAAAACCCACAAAATCGTCGGTATCGCTCCAAATAATCTCACCGATAGGGACATCAAAACTCGCCCCATAATCTCCTGTTGTGGTGGACCAGCAGATAAAATTAGCTGGTTATTGGTCAAGTTCTTCTCCACCACTCTTACGCCACAATAACCCAGCATTTAACAACACCAGGATTTCACTTACACGGCCTCATACCAATGCCATATTCCCGCCGATGCATGTTATGCCAGCTTTGATGCCGTTTCGCTCTACACCAACGTGAACACTCAAGATGCTATAGAAGCTTTGCTAACCCTCTGGAGGCAGTACAAGGAAGAAACATACACCTTTGGCCTAGACGAAAAAATGACCTGAGGGAGTTACTCAGAGCAACGCTGGACAGCAACATATTCCAATTCAACGGGAGATTTTATGTCCAGCATCGAGGTTTGGCCATGGGATCACGAATAGCACCACTACTGGCCATTGTGTACCTGGACTTTGTGGAACGAAGATCACTGACAGCTGGCATAATCTTCTATAAGCGATATATCGACGACGTGTTCATAATTGGCTCGTCTGGAGCGGAATTGGACGGGACCCTTCTCAATTTGAATTCGCAGGACCCTAACATTAGGTTCACTGTGGAGAACCCTAACAATGAAGGATTTGGTCCCATTTCCTTGAACACACAAGGTCTCGGATTTAGCAAATGGTCACCACGGAGTTTCCTGGATATTAGATTAGCCAGCCTTCGTAAGAACCGTGTTTCTGCATGCTAGAAGTTCACCCCCTGCTACATGAAGCCAATGTTTGTCCGGATATGGTATCACTCAGGAGCAAAATTATTGCAGCCCTCAGCATTCCATTCAGAAGCAGACTCGATGGTGGATAGAATTCTAAGAGAGAATGGGTATACAAGCACCCGCACCCATACATGGAAACCGCATTCCACGGCGGACGGAATTCCCTTGGTATTACCTTACCTAAATGAAAGCACGGCATTAAAAGTAAATAATATTGTAAAGTGCTCACCACTTCCTATACGCCTAATATTTTCGTCCTCACCAAATTTAAAACGGCGTCCTTACAGTTTTCCAGGCCTTATTGAAGATAAAATGTGGAAGGGGGGCTGTTGTGTTACCTTGCATGTGTTCTAAAATCTGTCAACTCAGGGGGACAGTTTATCTGGTGGAATGTCAAGGATGCGGGCAAAAATATGTGGGAGAAACTGGGAGGCCCCTTTACAAACGGATCGACGAACACCGGAGGGCGCTGGGAAACCACCTTCTTACCCTAATAGCAGTTTCTCCCGGCATCGCATAATGGAGCACACTCACCAGGAACCCCCCTCTTTAATGGTCAAAGTACTACACCGCTCGGTAGAGAGCACAATGGAAAGGAAAATATTGGAGGCCTTGGAAATAAAACGGCTAACACCCCAAATAAACAATAGGGAGGAACTACGTGACATTATGCAAGTCATAATGTGATCGCGTCACATCCCACTATTTAAGGGTGTGGTTAGGGTGGGTTGGCTAATTTGCCAGGATATTTCGGTAAGTGCCTCGTATGGGAGGAGTCCGTGCGGGTTACATCTCTGTAGGCTTATATACTGCATAAAACAAGCTAAATAATTTCAGGCCTGAAGAAGGTGCTACGCACCGAAATATAGCCAGATAAGATAAATTTTGAAAAACTTTTGAGACTTTCGCTGTCTTTTGAGTTTTTTGGAATAAACTTTTGGAGTTTCACATTGTTAATACACATTCAGATAAAACCTTCATAACTGAATTCAATATAGTTGAGTCGCAGAATCTTTAACATGGAATAAGAATCCTTCTTACTGATAGAGTATCATCTTCTGTCGCCGCGTTGATCTAGGTTTTTTTTCCCCCCCAAACCTAGGCCAATGCTTACTGGCGTGCCCAAAGGCCGGCGGTGTTTGTCTCCTTGTTCTTTTCAGCCATATTTACATTTGAACTAACCGTGTCTGTTCTACATACATAGAGGAGTGAAGTGGTTTCATTCGCTGCTCCACCGAAATATATCACCGAATTTCTCAATCTACTCGCAAGGTGCTGTTGCAAACGGCCATCATTTTAGGGTTGGCATGTGGGCCAAGCAATGGGGCGTACCTCTATCTAGTGAAAAAACCAAGGTGCTGCGCATAGGGAAAGTTGATAGCACGTCCTCGTATTCGATTCAAGAGGTATGTCTGGATGAGGTCAAAGAAATCAGGGACCTAGGTTTCCTCATTGACAGTGACTTAACCTTCGATGCACACTGTTCGCAAATTGTATCTAAAAAGCAACTGTTGTTTTACACAACATGTCCAGGTCACTCTTAACCAGGGATTCCCGTGTATTGTGCAAAGCTTCAAGACTTACATTAGACCTCTTTTGGAGTACGGGACCATAGTTTCTAATCCGAATAAGCGAAAAAGTATCAACGCTCTGGAAAGGGTACAAAATAGAGTTTTCTTTAGAGCGGTGAGTCATAAATATGACAAATACCTAATAGTGGTGCAAGAACCTTGACCTCCGATATGACTCCAGACTTCTCAGAGGAAGAAATTTGACCCATCTTCCCTTCGAGATGTCTTCTAATATTCCCCTAACCAAGATTCTTCATCACCAACTTGGTGTTAGACTCAACAAACTCTTTTTGCTCTGTCAGAAAGTCAGATTACCAGAGGTAGTTTCTAGAAGCTGATTTACTCGTCAAACTGAGAGAGTAATATCAGGCATCACTACTTTGCTAATAAGGCCGTCTCAGAGTTCAACAGACTGGTCCGCTTGGGAGTGACCGCTAACAAACTAAGCGCTTACGGCTGCTTTAGGCAACATCGATTATCATATACTTTGCAAAGCATCGTTCCATTTGATCAGTATCACGATTTTCTCTCGCTTGGATTCATGCGATTTTAATATTACCAGTTTTGTTCACACGCATTAAGTTCTAATAGTGCTGTTTTTCTGTTTATTTGGTTTTTGTGTTGTTGTGTTTTTTTCTTCCTATTGAATGATTATCTGTGTGATAAACAATTACAACGATTACAATGATCTTGGTTGGTTATCCTTAGTTCAGCATTTAATGGTGCTGATTATCGATGAGTCACGACCGACCATTCAACACAAGCGTTTCTTTGAAGCAACACAATCATATATAACAACAAGCAGTTCTTTTTCCCTGAACTGAATATCAGAAAATTGTTCAGTACGCCTCTATTCATCTGTAAATCATTACTGTCACTCAACGTTTATTATCAACAGCACAAAAAGCGAGTAGACGCAGCTAACGGCGTGGAGAGTACAATATGCTTACTTCTCGGCCGCCTTGATTACGTTGAAGCAGTCATTGTGAACTAGCCATTCACCATCAACCTGAGGAAGAGGATCTGCACTCAGTTGCGAAGTGTTACACCACAGTACGTTTTCGAGCGATTCGTAAAGGCTTACTAACAAATTTACGGTCAAATTTACGGGTTCCATACCTTTTTCCAAATTTGTAGGTAGGCCCCACTTTCTCTGCCTCGAGTTCCGTCCAGATGGTAGCTTCCCCTCTCGAAAGCCCATTCTCCGCTCCCATTAACTTCCTCAGTGATTATCTCAACAGCATTCGTAAAATGAGAATTGTGGAAATGCTTACTTCAGTGAATCACCTGGGCTGTTTGGACGCCATCTACCATGTCCTCCTTGAAGTATGCTTCAATCCCTGCAACTTATTCATCAACACTGAATCATCAATGTTCGCACCTGAGTAATCTGTGTGAAAAACCCACCAATGCGCCCTTTGACTGGATGGCGTCCGTTAGGCATGAAGTAGCCGTCCGGATCGTAAACGGCCGCAGCTCCTTTCGCATCCCCAGCGTTAAAGGCTTTCATAAATGCTTGTTGTCGATTTTTGATCTCTTGAAAAAGAGCTGAAATGCACTCATTAAAAATGCCTGAGTCCAAAACACTGACCATGATGCGCTAGTTAAGTGACTGGAAGGAATTGAATCGTAGTAATTTATACGCAACAGCAGGGCAGCCACATTACTGTTTCTAATTTCCGCCAAAGCAGAAATTACGGTTAAAGGCAAATCGAGTAATCGCATTTTTTAATTTCTTCTGAATTCAACAGCGCAAAAAAAAACTCATCAACACTTTGCCAGCCGGAGACAGCATGGTGAACCGTCCCTATTCGTAAAGAAATCCCCATGCTTTGATGCCACAGGAAACAAGGTACGCAATATTACAGCACTCCTGGTGAGACGGTATCACAAACTTCAGCAAAGAAATGAGCCTTCAGTGATTTTTTTTTTGCAAAGTTCGATGGTCCACGCAGCAGTGTTCTGCGAGGAAAGCGCAACTGGTAATAAACCTTCTCTGTTGTGCTACCTTCTCCCACATCTTGTCATGTTTTGTTGATTGTGATAGAATGAAAGTTAGCGAACAGAGTGACATAACGATTCTGTTAGCGAACAGAATCGTTATGTCATTCAACCGTAGTGGTCATGTTATTGTCCAACACAGAGCAAGATGACAGCTATTTGAAATTGAAATATCCTAAAAGTTACCGATCCTATGTCATTTTTGAATGCCACGTTTACTCCTTTCCATGTATAAGCACACATAATTTTGAGTTCAAAGCCTTGACACTTCGAGGGAAATTATTGTAAAAAATTATTTGCGTCGCGCCGGCCTGCATTGTGAAGCGATGGCATCCATGAATTGCTCAAAAACTGGCTAATAACATTGACTGTATAATTTTGATCTTGTACGCCTCTCTATAAAAAAGAGAGCCTAATTCGAAAGAATATGACAGAACTTTCCCCGCCAATCTAATATTGTGCTATTTTATACTATTTTTTAAGCAATTCAAGATTTCAATTTCGACTTCGTGGACAAGCATCGAAGAATCGAGCTTAATGGATCCACGGAAATTCATGCCAAAAAAGGGGCAAATTTTTAGATCTTCCACGTTCACACTGAACGTCATCGCCTCATGGGAGCGGTTCGAAACTCGATGCCCCAAGAGGGAGCTCCATGCGATGCACGTTTCCCAGTCCGAATTCTCATCTCTGAATCTCTTCAATCGTTTTCAATACTTATACGGCTCGCCTTCACTCATCTGCGTGCACCTGCATGGACCATTCGTTTCTGTCTTTCGCGACTTTCATCCTCGATTGACTCAAGAGTCTGCGAAGATGACGAACCGAGACTTCGTTCAGTCACATGCGCGGTTGCATCACGTGATTGGTCGGCACATCTCCCCATCGTGCAGCAGTTCTTTCCCTAGATTGTGGAAGTCCTACAGCAGCTCAATCTTGTATTGAGGTTATGGGGACTACATTGAGCAATGAGTTTCATTCAGAATGTTTTGCCTTTTCCGTCATACCTATACCCACTTTACACTGAATACTATGAACATAACAACTGATCCAAGCATCTGGATCCTCTGCTGAATCCGGCCTAGTGCAGTGCAGAGGTTGTGCTTCAGCCAGTTTTCGAGATATGAACGCCAGAATGATCGTCGTGAAAAGATTGTAGAGGAAATTCAGCAAGCTAATGACGTGATAGTTGCTAAGATCGGTGTGGTCAGCTTCCTTGTGCAGAATAATCTTGCGCATGTTTCTCCACTGGTCTTGAGTTCCTCCTTTCGAAAGTAGGAAGTTATGTGTTGCAAGGAGCGTATGAAGTTCGCGACCAGCAGCTCGAAGCATATCGACCGAGATTTTGTCGGATTCTTGCGCCGTGTCACCCTTCATCCTGCCCTCGGAATCGCTTGTCGCCTGCGATGGCAACACGCACCTCCGAGGGCCTCCCAGCGCTACCTCTAACTGCCCTCTAATTGCTTCCTCCCCTGTTCCGCTGAAAATCGCGGTGCAGTGGTTGTCTACAACTGAATGAGCTTCTCAAGGTGCGTAGCATTTGGGTTCAGCCTTGAGCTTTTCCTACCTTGGAGAAGGGTTTTGGTTGCAGCATCTGAGATGCGACAAACAGAATCCGATTGCGCAAAGAGCGGCTGACTCAGTTCGCCGAGTGGAGCCCTCGATGCCAGTCGCATCTGAGTCCTTCCGTCGCCATCTTCCCCGACATCATAACGTAATTATTCATCACCCCATCACCCCATATAATGTAATTTCGCTTCGTCATGTTTTGTTTGTTCTTTGCAATTTGTTTGTAAGTTTGTGTGTCGGCTCTCGGAAATTCGCGTGCGAACCTGAAGAAACGACTTGTAGAGAGAGTTCGGTGTCAAGTGGCGATGCGTTAGCATGAGGACAAGAAATAAAAAGCACACTTGACCTATGGCAAGCCCCGCCCACAGTAGGCGGGGCACTCGCCGAAAGTTTTGGGTTCCGCAGAAAAATGTTCAACAATTCGCTCCGCGAGCCGCCAACTTAAAGATCGCGGGAAAAAGGAATGAAGGTAAGCAAGGAGTCGCCAGACTTAACTGTGGCAAGAACATACCAAATGGCGGCGGCTACTCAATGGTGGGCGCTGTCTTCTCGCAAATTTCAGTTAACCCGGTTTCGCAGAGTGCTTTGAAGTCGCCAAGTAAACTCAGCCGTAGAATGCTAAATATCTGAACGAATATAGGGACGCCAAAGGTGTGAGACCCGCCGACAGTTTGCGGAGCTTGCCCTAAATCGCAGGGTATTCATTCCAAAGTTTGTAGCTCGGTTCCAGAACACTCCAGACACCGGAATAAAGTGAATCCAGGTCAGCAAGGGTTCGCCGATTGAAAAATGTGGGGTATACATATTGTGGGCGGAGCCTGCTCCGAGGTGGGCGGAGCCAGAAAAAAGGTCTGTAAAACGGTTCCAGAGCACTCCGAAGACCGGAAACAAAGTGGATCCAGTGATGATGCAAGCGGTCGCGATAGAAGTGGTATACAATTGTGGTGGGCCAGCCAGGTGGGCGGAGCCAGACGAAAATCTCTAAAACTGTCTCAGAGCACTCCAGACATCGGAAAAAAGTGGATTAAGGTCAGCAGAGGGTCGCCGGTGAGGATTGTGGGGCACAATTGTTGTGGGTGGAGCCTGCTCCGAGGTGGGCGGGGACAGACAAAGGATTTGCAAAAATTAGCAAGATACTTTCAGACACTCGAGAAAAAGGAGTACAGAAAAATATGCGAAATCAGTTGGGTCTGCAGATAAATGTGATGGCGCCGTGCGTATTCGTTCTCCATTCAAAGTTCCATGGTAAGGGCGGATTCCCCTGGTAAGGAGATTCATTGTAAGTGGGTCTGTGAATGCCCAGATTTTCTGGGCTTCCTTTTTTCATCATCAGTATTTTCTTCAATTTCTCCATGCTGAGGAAACCGTATTTCCTCTGCAGCATCTGCTGAAGCTCTCTACCAGGCCCTGAACAGTGAGATCCCTGTTTTCAGGTGTTCCCTGGTCTCACAGCTCGTCTTCGTCATGGAAACTTATTTTCCCACGAGAAAGGAAAGCACCGTTAGACGTGGAAGTACCCGAAGGTCGAACGGCACGACTCATGTTGAGATGGAAACATAACAGGTGACAGGAAGTTGTGCTCGGACTGTACCATCCTTCTGAAGTGGCTCAGATCATCGTCTTCTGGCGCTAAAAAAACTCAGCCGCAAGCTGGGAATGACCTATAGCGCGGGAGGGCGGGCGAAGTGGGTTGCATACGACGCGGAGGATCCACGGCTCTAAACACCTATTACTGGAGTGTCAGGGAAAATCCGACCGATGACTATGATGCACTGCGTCTAGGCCTCAACTCCTGCCGCTCTTGCGCGCTTTCCGTTTGTCGCATTTCAGAGGCAATGTTGAGTCGTTGGAAGGTAGAGGGCAGTAGAATAGGCAGGAATATTTATTAGGAATAGAACACATAACTAACAGAAAACGTTGGGTTTATATAGTCACTTGAGATCATTAATTAGGCGCGAAAAGTAGTACCTAATACGGTAGGTAACGATCAAAAGTATGGTCATGGTGGGTCGGTAGATCAATGCGATATCTAACACCTCCCCTTTTTGAACATGGAAACTAAGGTGACAACTGATATCACGAACATGGTAGTCTTCTTGTGGGGTCCACCTGGAGCCGTGTTGGAGGACGTCGCGTGCGTGTCGATCGTCGTGTGTGGTCCTCGTTTGTCGCTGTTGTCGTGTCGTCGCTTGGCGGTACTGCACTTGTAGTCGGCATCGAAGTTGACGATTGCAGGTCGAACATCTCGAACAGTGTTTCCACATCCTTGTCGTTGTGCTGTGGTGGTACATCGTGATGTCGGAGGCGGAGCTGATTGGCATGTCGGATACAGATTTTCTCTCCAAGTAGGACTTTGTA